CTGAGGACATAGGCATATGACTAGTTCCCACAGCCCTGGGTCTCCTCAAAGCTCGACTGTGCCCAGAGCTGGGCATGGACCATGCTGGGATCTTACCTTAAAAGTAGTCTTAATCTTTTTTGGGTCCCCCACACATATCTGGATGACGTTGTTGTAATGTTTGTAGCGAGAGATGCATTCTTTGTTGCTCTGGATTTCAAGCCGTACCTCGTGCAGTTTCCCATCACCTCTGGTGTTTACACCCAGGCGCCCCCATCCGGCCACGCTGCACACCATCCCTGGCTTCACCTGGCCTCTCCTTGTGGGCAGACTGATGAGGCGCACGGCGGCATTCAGTTTGGCCTTCTTTTTCAGCTGAAGGCAGAGGGCAGGAATTCTAATCTACCCGTGGCCCACAGTCCGCAGGGACAGTCCTGTGCTTGCCATCTTCATGGCCCTGGGACTAGTCAAGGGGACAAATTGGGTCTGAGGACAGGACAGAGGGTATGCGGGCACAAAACCTTGGGAAGAAAGTGTGCAAGAACCAGTGGAGCCCTACCTGCAGTAACATGATGTCGTTTGCAAGCGTAGTATCATTATAATCTGGGTGGCATATGGTTCTTTTCACCCGGATGTTCTGCTGGGTCTTCTCCTTCCGTTTGATGTTGTGGGCTCCCAGGGTGACAGTACGTGAGCTGTGGAGACCATAGAGGGTGGTGTAGTCACAGGAGATACAGCCCAGGGGCTGTGAAAGAAAGAGGACAGGTGGGGACAGGGCAGGACTGCAGTGGAGAGGAATGATAGGGTCCCTGGGACTGAACATGTGTGTGCCCTCTGCGTCTGGGCAGCTCGGGCTCAATGGCAGTTCCTGGAGCAGATGTTACTGTGCTGAGCTTGCCTGTCTGTAAGCAAAACCGTGAAGGTCTCACATTTGCACGCCTGGCTCCAGGGCACAACCTCAGGCTCCTTCCCGTGCCACCACTGGTCACTCCCCTCTCTCTTCAACAGGCCACTTGCATTGACCTGACCCTCTCTCCCAAAAACTTACCTGTATTTGGAAGAGCTGCTCTTTCTTACTAAGAGGTTGAAGTGTATAGCCCCTAAGATGAGGGCTCCCTGCCAGGTGTCTACAGAAGGGGTGGGTCCCAGACGCTACTTCTCACCTTCTACAGCAGTGAGCTGCTGTCAGCACGAAGTCCTCACGCACAAGGAAACCCCCACAGTATCTGCTTTTTGGACACTTATTCGAAAGATACGCCATATAGGGACGAGAGTGAGGCTTGGACTCATGGCCCCCAATGATTTCCCCTGAAAGAAAAATTCTACCTTGCTTGCTGTGCTGAAGGAGGCAAGGGCTGGCGGGGAGATTGGGACAAACTGGAGTAGGCGGGGAGGAGTGTGGTGGTGGATGGTGGTGTCTGTAGTAGTCAGAAGTGACCTAGTGGGGGGGGGGAGCATGGGGGCTCCTGAGTAACATTCCAGACCTACTAAGTGATCCACAAGACTCAATTTGTCCCTCTGACAGAGAGAAGAACAGTCCTTATTCCTTAACTACAGCTGCAGGCACATGTGTGGGTAGACAGGATTTGTTTTGGGAACAAGCAGCGAAGGCCCTGTGCATCCTGGCACTTGCTTTCCCTGAAATTTCCTGGGTCCTCTCTCCATTCTTGTTTCCCAGACTCACTCAGCTGCTACAGGTGTGTAATCCTCAGAACATTGTGACTTTAAAATTACTAGAGAGAGCTTGAGACTGAACTAGCCAATCACAAATGTTAAGAGAAACAGGGTGCCACCAACTCGGGGATCAACTGTGTCCTCAACTTCTTTCCTGAGCAGCACAGAAATGACAAATCTGAAGAAGGGGGAGGAGATTGAGGGTAGATTTTAAGTCATTGAGTTAGAACGTGAAAGGGCCTTACTTTCATTACATATGCCAGCCCCTTTTCCAAACTGCCCTTTCCTGGGGATTTAATTATTCCTCATTCTTAGCCTCCAACCTTCTTGCAGACGGTTTTCTAAAAGAACCCACAATCCTGATGAGAAGGGTAAGACCTGGGAAGGGCACAGTACCCACAGGCCCTCCTGGAGAACAGGCTTCTGCCCTGCCATTTCCAAGGAGTGTTTATTCAGCATCAGAATGGTTGGTCTTTCAGGGAGGCTGAAACTGGAGTCCAGAAAGTTCCTGATGATGGATCAGTGCAGGATGTGTATGTAGCATCTGGCCATGGCTGTGCCAGTGTGGAGTGGGGTTGGGCGTCTGTTGGAGGGGGACAGTCACTCACCTGCCTCTGCCCTGGGGGACAGAAGAAAGACCATCAGGAGTAGAAGTGGCTGCATCTTCTCGGGAAGGTGGCCGAGGTCAGAGCTGCTGGTGCTTCCCCTTGGTTTTCTAACCCCAGGCTCTCCCGTGTTGTGGCCTTTATCACGTAGGCTCTATTTGAGTGCCCGACACAGCTGTGTGTTGAAATATTCAAGCCTGATGGAGTAAGAACTAATCAGTAACCACATAAGCACCTGAGCTCTGACTCCGTGCCGACCACACAACTGAAAACAGAAACCACTGGCTACAAACTGAGGTTGTGGGAGATGCTGTATCAGCCAGTAGTATGTTCCTGAATCCCAGAAACCCGAATCTCATGATGATCCATGTAAGAACTCTTCGTTTCCTTGTTTTTTTCTCGACCGTTTATTGAGGTCTTTTATTGTGAGACACAGGGGTATTAGACATGAGATTTTTTTGCATCTGGTGGAGACAAAACCATCAGTGATCAGATAAACATAGTGAAGCCACAGTTAAAGGGATGGACATAATGGTGTGGCAATAATGCACAAGAGGGCTTATGTCATTTTGTAAAGAACCAAGTGTGGTTTCAAAGAAGAGCAAGAAAATTATTCTTCTAGTGAATCTGCATCTTGTTCAGGATTAGGATG